GGCGTCACCTTTAGCGTAGGTGCTGAGCGTATATGTTTAAATGACTGTCAAATGTATAAATGAACATTTCCTTATCATAAACCCAGCTCCAGCTTCGTAGCAGCCATAGCCCTGATGCCTTTAGTCACACTCTCAGCATGTGACCTGTAATTTCGGACTGATTTTATACAAATGACACATAAAACCGATTAAGTAGCAACATCAGCAACAACTTCTGCACATTGCGACTCAATTTAAAACGTTCACCTTCTCAGTTGAGAATATATTCAGATCTCTAGACAACTTTCTTTCGAGTCATTTACTAGTATTTTGCTGTTGTAGCATTTTATCTGTATGCCTGACGTAGCGAATGAACTTAAAACACAAATGTAATGAAACATTCACAGAAGTATTGAGGGTTTAGCGAAGATAAAGGAAGCAATTTTATAAACGGTGAGCACGCTATATAAAACCATTACTTATATCCCCATAGTGGGTTCAGCATATAAAGCTGTTTCTTCATATGCCCATTTAATGCTTCTGGAGATTTTCTTCAGAGTGTCTGAGGGAAGCAGGTCATATTTTACTGGTAGAGTATAAAAAGTTTTACTACTTTTTACAGCATGGCTGTAAAATGTGGAAATTAATCAGGATATTCAATTTGCCTCCACTCAGTTGCGATAAATAAGCAAAAATCAACTAAGCCACCTATTCAAACATCAGTAAAACATGCATAATAATAATAATAATAAGTCTTTTTCATAATGCTGGTGTAAATATTTCTCGTTCTCGCAATACGAAAGCTGCTCTTTGACAGAATTAGACACACCATTGCATCGTAATTAATAAAGTCCTCCAGTAATAATGGACTAACCGGATTAACTGTCCAATTTCCTTTTTAAGTGGCTGGAAATGTCATGGTACGCTGACAAAGTGAAAAGAAATGAAAGAAAAAATTAAAAATCACTTGACAGTCCTAGAGACAGAGTCAGCCATTAGCAGCCTTGCTACTGGTAATTAGTTTCAGATTAAACATATTCATTATGTAATATTACATTGTAACACAAAGCCGTGGCATTGATCGTGATCTTTGGGCAAAAAAATCTGAAAATTCAAACCTTAGATTCCGAGTAGAAATGTTAGTCTGCAGAGCGAATGCTTAGACATGTTCCTGAGCAGCTGCCATTTTGAATTTTTATGATCTGCCTTGTTCTAGGATTAGTTTTCGGAGGTAGACTCTGCAGGAGGGGGACTTTTACAGACACATGGCCTTTGTCACTTTCTCCACAGTGCTGTTGAATAATTATCACTGAATCTTATTGGTCAGAAAGTGCGGATTCATTTTATTAAGTAGAACAGTTTCTAAGCATTTCGACTTGTATAGTGGGCGCACCACATTAATGGACTCAAATTTGTTTAAACTGAGCAAAGAATTATATTTATTGACACGGTGAAGTTTTTTTTTTTTTTTGAATGAGACGTTTACAGAAGGAGTCTCCAGTTTTAGCACTTTATAAAGCTTTTCCTGACAATGGACCAGTGAGGAGTTTGAGCTTTATGTGTTTTTTAACAACATGAAAAGCCTCTTTTTGTCAGATTACCTTCGAGAGAGATTAATAAAAGAGGCTGTTGAGAGAATACTTGTTTACAGTGCATACAGTCCCATTCACTAATATTGGCAACTTTGGTAAATATGAGCAAAGAAGGTATAAATATGAGGTAACACACAGGCCAAAATCCCTTCTTCATTCATACTAATAAGACCAAGGAATATAGCTGTGATGTAAAGTAAAAGGTTGTTGAGCTTCATAAAATGGGACGTGTCTATAAGAAAATTGCACAAGCATTGAAAATGTCCATTTCCACCATCAGGGCAATAATTAAGAAGTTCCAGTCAACTGAAACTAAAAGAGAGTTTTTTTGGTAATACACCACAGATGTGGTTTTGGTGCACAGAGAGGTAGCCATATGGAAAAGTACCTCATGCCCACGGTTAAATATGGAGGTGGATCTTTAATGTTTTGTGGCTGTTTTTCTGCCTGAGGACCTGGACATTTTGTTAGGATACATGGCATCATGGACTCTATCAAATATCAACAGATATTAAATGAAAACCTGACTGCATCTGCCAGAACGCTTCAACTGGGCCGTGGTTGGATCTTCCAGCAGGACAATGATCCAAAACATACATCAAATTCCACACAAAAATGGTTTATTGATCACAAAATCAAGGTCCTGCCCTGACCATCCCAGCCCCCTGACCTGAACCCCATAGAAAACCTGTGGGGTGAACTGAAGAGGAGAGTCCACCAGCGTGGACCTTGAAATGTAAAGGATCTGGAGAGATTCTGTATGGAGTAACGCTCTCAGATCCCTCGCCATGTATTCTCCAACCTCATCAGGTATTATAGGAGAAGACTCAGAGCTGTTATCTATTCAAAAGGAGGTAGCACAAAATATTGACAAAAAAGGTACCAATAATTGTCGCACACCTATATTTAACAAAGTTTTTTTTTTTTTAACCTGTATTGTGTTTGCAATTGATTGATATCTATGAGAGCAGAGACTTTATTTTTATTTATTTTTGTGAACTTCTTTTACACAAACAAATCACAAAAATCTTCTTCGCTCATATTTACCAAGGGTGCCAATATTATGGGAGGACACTGTATAAATCAGTTCACCATGATATCCAATTAACTATGTACTCACATACAATCCTCAATGCCTCAGCATGGTTCATTCTGAGACAACATAATTAGCTGGCTTCCACAACCAATTTGGTGTAATTGTGCAGCAAAGCGATGATGTGTGGAGGCTTTTGTTATGTCCACAATGGTCAATTCCTCCCCACACCACCAGAGGGAACCCTCGCTCATTCATTAGTCAAGGCACCCTCCCTCGTTTATTAACAACTTCTTTGTGTCATCTGCTCCATTTCGTTCCTTGATGGTGCTCACCTGTTTTGTGTTCCCCCACTTAGTTCCCAATTTAACTTCGGTGTTTTCCCTCCTTAGTTGTGGACCATTGTATTTGTTGCTAGTATGTTGTGTCATACTTGCACTGTGAGTGCTTTTTGTTTTCTTTGCCTTGCCTAGCCGTGGTCTAGTTCCTTATTTTAGGTGTTCCAGTTTTTTTGTTTGTTTGTTTGTTTGTTTGTTTGTTTGTTTGTTTGTTATATTTTTACTTGTCTTGTTATTAAAAAAATAAATAAAATAAAAAAAACCTTTCTGCTATTGCATCCAACTCCCTGGATTCCAGGACTCGCCATGGCACGCACGTGGTAGCTGGATAAACTTTGCGGACGGACACACTGTGATTGGTCTTTACAGACTAGTTTTGCCCAATCCAATCCATTCTAAGCTCCGCATCATCAAAACTCATTGTATTTAATGATCTCATATATCACCTGCATCGAATATCCCTTTTCTCGTTCTAAATATGGAACAAAATTCCTCTCATACTTGTGTTCTAGCATTTGTTTATGTACGTCCTGACATGCTTGTGAAGTTTTAATAGCGCCACCTGCAGTACTGGATTGCTTCTAAACGAGGGCTAATGTGAAAGCGCACACAGTATGCAAGCTTGTAAGTTCACAAAGGTTTCATTTTTTACCCAACCATCGTCTCCACATGTAACCTGCTGAGGTATTTCGACAAGTACTAGCTACATTAACACCCCAACCACGTCTTCTTTTAAGGCTTTCTCTCAAAGTCCACATATCTGTCACGTCGTTGAAGCGCAGACCTACAGGACTGATCACTGGAATGAGGGTGTAAACGCCAGCGTTTGGAAAAAGTCCTCTTCAAAGCTTCATCACATCCCAGAATGTTGCTTCTTGTGTTCTTTAATGATGGCTCGCCATTCGGCCGTTCAGAGATTACAGAGTTACAGACTCGGTGTCATTACTCACTCAAACGCTCGTACAGATTGTTTCTATCAGCTATAAATGAGAGATAATTAGAAATAATTGGTTGCGGTTTCCAATGAAAACTTAATCTTCCTTTTCCATGTGAAGATGAATGGAATTTGTAATCATTTCATTAATAAGAAAAATTCCCATTGTTCACACTGACAAATCCATATAACACATCGGGACGAAGTCAGCTGTCTTCATTCAGTCGTTCTGTTTCAAATGACGTGTAGTTAAGATGTAAATGAGCTAATTAGGTAGTTATGTAAATGAGGTAATCGATCTCATAGACTGTATGTTGGTTTAATCGCTTATTTTACAATTGAGGACCATGAGACAGAATGTGCCCCATTTGGGACATGGCCATTTGTGTTCCATGATTATTCAAGAATTCAACAGTGCTGTGGTATAATTTTTAAATGACTAAAAAGAATTAAACTCAACAACACAGTGATGGCTATCATTTGCTGAGATCTAATCCCATGCCCACTGAATACACACTCATTTTCTTTCACTGTTGCTTGGACAAATACAGCCACCGCTCCAGGTTTTATTTCAACCAACAGCACGGTTTTAAAATCTTTTAGTAAGTTTAAAAAATATATGTGGTCACCAACACTATTCCTGGAGATCTACTTTCCTGAAGACTTTAGGTCCAACCATAATCGTGCACGCCTGACCCCCTCATCATTGCTTTAAGAAGTTCTTGATCATCTAAAACAGGTGTGTTAGATTTTGGTTGGAGATTAAACCTGCAGGAAGATAGATCTCAAGGAAGAGTGCTGGTGACCATACTCCGGTTTCCTCCCCCAGTCCAAAGACATGCATGGTAGGCTGATTGGCGTGTCTAAAGTGTCCGTAGTGTATGAATGGGTGTGTGAGTGTGTATGTGATTGTGCCCTGTGATGGACTGGCACCCTGTCCAGGGTGTACCCCGCCTTATGCCCGATGCTCCCTGGGATTGGCTCCAGGTTCCTTCCCTGAAGAAGGAATAAGCGGTAGAAGATGGATGGATGGCTGGATGGATGGATGGGTTGGTGACCACTGATGTAGAGCGTTCACCATACAAGTCCCTGTTACTATAGAAATGATACTAGGTTCTGACAAGGCAGTGGTAGCTCAGTGGCTAAACAGTGGACTCCTGATTGAAAAGTCGTGAGTTCAAATCCCGGCCACTGTTGGGCCCTTGAGCAAGGCCCTTAACCCTCAACTGCTCAGTTATATAAATATGAAATAAAATGTAAGAGCACCTGCCAAAACGCATTCGAGCGAGCACATTTATATAAACCTGCGATTTAGAGCTCTGTTATAAATAATTATCAAGAACCATTTTTACCCCCACAGTACAACAGACACGTATTAGAATGAACAAAAATGTAAAATAAATATGTTTGCACCTAAGGTGCTGAAGAAAAAGAATAAATATAGTGCATGGGTAACGAAGTACGAGAACCACTCTGTTTAAGCCAAGGCATGTTTCTATCAAGAAAATGGTGTTTTTCAATAACAAATAAAACTGCTGAGAAATACGTCCTGTTATTTAGAGATCTGACATTTACAAGAGTCAGTTTAGCTTCTACTTATGGGGTTTGGCTGCACTAATACACTTGAAAGTGACATTAATCAAGTTGAATCAGTCCCTCAGTGAATTTCATTAATAACAAGATGTCTCCGAGTACAGTTAATTCCCTTGAAGCTTCTAAATGGTTAACATGTAGGAGTAACAATAATAGTCTCATTTCTATATTGGATTTCATGTTCCCGGGAAGAGGCGGGAAAAGTGTTTACATCAGCCAAATGCCACTTTCAGTCGTGATTTCTGTTTATAGAGTTGGATCTGCTATTGCAGACGTAATATTTTTTGTCAATTCGGTTGCAGCAATATTTTATTAGCTTAGCCGACTGAGTCTGACAGTCATTTCGATAGCCTCATTAATCATCAATCAAACTATATTTAATTCAATAATGAGGTTTTTTTTTTCGTTGTTTTTTGTTTTTTTCCCAGACAATACTGACATGACTTATAAAGATCCCATGAAAAGAAGCTAAATTGCATGTGAAGCCAGATAAATAAAACATAAGAAGAATGGAACAATGCACAGCCAATCAAAAGTTTGGACACAGCTTCTCAAAGGGCTTATTTTATTTATTTATTTTTTAAACTATTCTTTCTCTATATTTTTTATAATAATAACGAATAAAATTAGCTACAGATAAACATTAATTATGCAGCGACAAAGAATAATGTTAAACAGATGATACTCTGAATTCGGGACAGTATACCTAGCACACTCTCAGTATCTCAACCGGCTTCGTGAGGTTTTACTTAACGCCAAGTTCATCACAACTTCTCTTCAGCTCTAATCGAAAACTACTTCAAATCATTTTAATAGAGAATCTTTAATGCAATAATAGTGGTATTTGATTTTAAAATGATAAAAATCCAAGCTGTAGCAACTTTAGTACATGCCCTTCAGTCGTATAAACTTTTTCACACGATCTCACAACGTGTTTAAAACTCATCTACTTGCATAAATGCTGCCCTGTATTTTGCACTTCTGGGTAAAAAATAAAAAACACCCCCAAGCTGCATAATTATTAAAGCAAACATGTTAAACTCCTTAGATCCTATTATCAAGTTTTCAGATTCTAACACAACCTACATGAACCTTTAGTAAATACGGGCTTAATCGTTTTTCAGACTAAATGGTGGAGTAATAAGATTGATGTTCAAAAAGGATGTTTTGAAAAACATACTGTAGCTAAAGCACAATATACCATTACTACACGTGCACTGCATTTACTTTAGATATTGATATACAGTTCCTTCCACTAATATTTTACTGATATTTTGTTCACACAATTCACAGAAAACATCTGCTCTTTATCAAAACACAACTTTATCAAAAAAAATATATCTTTGTTAAATATAGGTGTGCAACAATTATCGGCACCAGTATGAAGTATATTCCCATTGCTATTTTACTTTTTTTTTGTACACCTGGGTGACTAGGAATAGGAAATTGTTCTACCATGACTTCCTGTTTCACAGGAGTATAAATATGAGGTAACACACAAGCCAAATTCCCTTATTCATTCATTCATAACCATGAGTAAAACCAAGGAATATAGCTGTGATGTGTGGCAAAAGGTTGCTGAGCTTCACAAAATGGGATGTGGGTATAAGAAAATTGCACGTTTTCACCATCAGGGCAATAATTAGAAAGTTCCTGTAAACTGGAAATGTTATAAATCTACGTGTGTCTGTATCGTCTCAACACACTGTGAAGAGGACGGGTCGAGTGGCCAAAAAATCTCCAAGGATCACAGCTGGAGAATTACAGAAGTTAGTTGCGTCTTGGGGTCTGAAAGTCTCCAAAACTACAATGTGAAGTCACCTACATCACCACAAGTTGTTTGGAAGGGTTTCAAGAAAAAAGCCTCTACTCTCATCCAAAAATGAACTCGAGGGTCTTCAGTGTGTCAGACACGACTGGAACTTCAAATGGGATCGGGTTCTATGGTCAGATGAAACCAAATTAAATCTTTTTGGTAATACACACCAGAGGTGGTTTTGGTACACAGAGAGGTAGACATATGGAAAAGTACCTCATGCCCACGGTTAAATATGGTGATGGCTCTTTAATGTTTTGTGGCTGTTTTTCTGCCAGAGGACTTGGATATTTTGTTAGGATACATGGCATCATGGACTCTATCAAATATCAACAGATATTAAATGAAAACTTGACTGCCTCTGACAGAAAGCTTCAAATGTGCCATAGTTGGGTCTTCCAGCAGGACAATGATCCAAAACGTACATCAAAATCAACACATAAATGGTTTACTGACCACAAAATCAAGGTCCTGCCTTGACCATCCCAGTCCCCTGACCTGAACCCCATAGAACACCTGTGGGGTGAACTGAAGAGGAGAGTCCACCAGCGTGGACCTCGGAATGTGAAGGATCTGGAGAGATTCTGTATGGAAGAACGCTCTCAGATACCTCGCCATGTATTCTCCAACCTCATCAGGTATTATTGTAGAAGACTCAGAGCTGTTATCTTGGCAAAGGGAGATAGCACAAAGTATTGACCAAAGGGGTGCCAATAATTGTTGCATACCGATATTTAACAAATAGAAATTGAATAAACCTGTGTTTTGTTTGCAATTGTTTGATATCCATGAGAGCAGAGTATTTTTGCGAATTTTTTTGAACAAAAAGGTTAAACAATAAAAACACATTTTCACAGCCTTCTTTGCTCATATTTACCAAGGGTGCCAATATTAGCGGAGGGCACTGTAGATATGCTAATGAGCACCAACTTGTTGACCCTGTAACTAACTTTTGTCAGTTTGATTGAAAGTCATACACTGCACCACAATGCATAGATTATATACCGGAGTCTCATGACACCTCGACATTCCGTTACTATAATTACGTCAACGCAGGGTAAAGAATTAAGGTCCGCTCCCAAGTTGTATCTGCGCAATTGACAAGATCGCCTCTGACCACATTGGAAAAATAAGTAGTTACATCTGTGTAAATGAGACTGTCACAAAGCCAAACAGGCATCGAGGAAAAACTGGGTTCAGTGATGCGAAATTCACAAAAGATCGACATTAATAACAAGGCTGAACGCGATAGAAAGCAAATATCTTCCAATCTCTATGAAGATAATAAGAGAAAATAGATATATATTTTTTAACTCGTCAAAATTGAGTGCTTGACTCACTTTAGAGGGCTTTATTTTTTACTAACAGTATCGTTTATATGTGATCAGACATAGACTAACATCTCACTGATCTTTAGTAGTATGTAGGTAATCGATCAGTTCCAGAAAGCCCTGATTTCTCTAACGTGACTGAATGAATCCTGTTTTTAATCGTTCAAATAAAAAAAAAATAACGTTTCGTAAAACATCGGTACCAAACAGTCCCTCCAGAATTCTATGAATTTCCGGATCGCGGTATTCTCAGGAGCTTGCAGTTTTTCAAAATGACTGCAGATTTTTCTGCAGATTTGGGCCAAGACGCATCATGTGACATCATCGCAACACGCATTCCCCCTAAAGCCCTCTTTCATTCACGAGTGCAGCTAAAGAGCCGGCGCAACAATGTTGTGCAATTGCAATTTCGCAACTCAAGTTGTTTTTCTCAAAAATGCACACACACACACAAAAAAAACAACTCTACAAATGACACGGCAGACGTTTTCAAAAAGTCGTCGCAAAATCGAGTGTTTTAGGCCGCAACAATCACAAAAAACTCAGCAGAGTCCCGTACGGCCTGACCAAATATTATTACCCATTACATATCGAGTCCAATTTCAAAGCTCATCACTGTATTAGAAATTTCTTCTTGAAAACTTGGTACTCTTCCTCATTTTGAAGAAATACAATTAACGGTCTTGGACTAATCTCCAGTTTATACATCATAAGTAAACCATTATAAAATGTAGAATTTGAGTCAGGTTCAGTTCATACTAGTAGTAGTAACTGAAGTAGCTGTAGTGGTAAACGTACATTGTTTATTTTCCTTTAGTGGATGTGGTAAACATCTCTGATTTTTATGAGAGCCCTGATTGATATGAGAATGGGTCAAATGAGAACCTTAAAAGTGCGACATAAAGTTAATCAACTGTTTATTAGTAATCCTGACACTAATTAAGTGCTTAAACACTTGCATTGAATTGAAACGGAGATTACGTAGAACAATGGACCAACATGTTTAGTCCATCCTGTTACTAATTTATAAGCTTCAAATATCCTTCAAATACACCTTGGCCACGTTTGGATCAGTGCCAACATGTAGTCAGTTCATGCAATGTTATCCACTTAAAGTGTGTATATATATATAAATATATATATATATATATATATATATATATATAGTATCTCACAAAAGTGAGTACACCCCTCACATGTGTGTAAATATGTGATGATATCTTTTCATGTGACAACACTGAAGAAATGACACTTTGCTACAATGTAAAGTGGTGAGTGTACAGCTTGTGTAACAGTGTCAATTTGCTGTGCCCTCAAAACAGGAATGTTTACATAAATGTAACATCTCTGTATAGCAAACAGGAAGGAAGCTATTGAAGAAGAAAAAAGTTATATTTCTGACATTTGACCTTACTGGGACTCTGTTTGGATCATCTGAGGAATTACGCTTACAAGA